GAAGAAGAAGAAGAAGAAGAAGAAGAAGAAGAAGAAGAAGAAGAAGAAGAAGAAGAAGAAGAAGAAGAAGAAGAAGAAGAAGAAGAAGAAGAAGCATAACACGTAAGAGTTCCTTGGATCCTTGGGTTTGAGGAGGGTTAGAGGAGAGGAAGAGGAGGAGGAGGAGGAGGAGGAGGAGGAGAAGAAGAAAGAAGAAGAAGAAGAAGAAGAAGAAGAAGAACAAGAAGAACAAGAAGAAGAAGAAGAAGAAGAAGAAGAAGAAGATGATGATGATGATGATGATGATGATGATCCTGGATACTCTCTAAACATGGTTGTTTTCTTGCACACGTTTCATGACGGAACTAGGGAATATTCTCAGTGCTAGAAGGGAGGGGGGTTTGAGGAGAGGAAGAAGAAGAAGAGGAGGAGGAGGAGGAGGAGGAGGAAGATTGTGGGATCCTTGATACTCTCTGAGGTTGGCTGTTTTCTTGCAGACGTTTCATGACCCAATTAGGGAACGTCATCAGCGCTGATGCTATTGCACTGATGACATTACCAAGTTGGGTCATGAAACGTCTGCCAGAAAACCACCAAGCGCAAGAGAGCATCAAGGACCTCTCCTGTAAATTCACCTAATCCGTAAAGAAAATAAGTCTTTGAGAGATTGTGGACTTGGGGGGCCTCTGTCCAATTGCATTCCCCAATTCTCCCCACACCCCTGTCCCCAAGACGGACCTTTGCAGGAGTCTCACCCAAGTTGCTTCTCCTCCCTCCCTGCAGGTATCTCACCGGGGACCAGTTCTCCAGCGAGTCCTCCCTGGAAGCCTACGCCCGCTGCCTTCGGATGGGCTGCCGATGCATTGAATGTAAGCTGACGCCCACCGTTCTTGAGCCTATTAACAAGCCTTGGTTAAGGGCCACATCATTGTCTGTGCTCATTCGGCACCGAGGATATTTCTGAGAACCATCTGTGGTCTTTTCACCACGTTGTCCAGGCTCCGACGGACGAACCCAAGCAAGCAAGACGTTCCAATCTCTTAAGGCAGTAGTGGCAAACCTACGGCATGAGTGCTAGAGGCGGCACTCAGAGCCCTCTCTGTGGGCACGCGCGCCATGCCCCTGAGATGGCAACCGTCCCTCTTCAACTAGCTGCCCGCTAACTTGCCGAGGTCCCATGTGGCCAGATGCATCCCAGCACAGCTGGTTTCCCTCCCCCCATCCCTCCTGGCCTCGCATGCTCTCCTTTTCTCGGGCACAACCCACTGCATCGCCTCCTCAGCTGTTGGCTGACCGTTCAGCTCAGAGGCGGCTTCTCTGAATTGCTGGCGGCGGGCTGCGGAGCCCCAGAGTGCGCAGGTCGAGGGGCCGGCAGGCTGTGGCTGCTGACGGACACTGTCGGCCCCCATGCGCACATTGGCCTCTGTGTGTGGGGGCCGATGGTGTCAGGCAGCAGCCGCCCCGGCCCCTGCCTCTCCTTGCCCCGTGGCAATGGTACCCCCGCCCTGCCTCTCCTTGCCTCGCCTCACCCCGCAGGACGAGCCTCCTGCCCACCACCCCACCTGCCAGAGACCCCCTGGATCTCCCCCAACCCTGCCTGGCCCCCACAGGCGTCCCTCCCCATGAGCAACATCGAGGTGACCATGCCCACCTTGGCCACACTCACCCAGTCTGCCATGACCACCACAGCCCCACCTGGCACCCGGCGATAAATAAGTGGGTTTTGGGTTGTAGTTTGGGCACTCGGTCTCTAAAAGGTTCGCCATCACTGTCTTAATGCAAAACTTTATTGAGTACATCATTCTGGCACGAACAAATGTAAAACCAGCTCTGGTAACCCACCCCCAGCCCAAACCCCTTATAGTAAAAGTACAGAACTTCCCCTCCCCACTGGATCAGGTCACGCTGTCCAATTAGATGCCAAAATATTGTTATGAGAAAGGGTCTCCGAGGCTGGCCAGACATCTGCTGAACCGTCCTTGATTCTCATGGTCCGGCTTCTTGATCTTTAGAGCCTGCATTCCATTCTCCTCCCCTGCTCCGAGTTCGTTGGCAAGCTGGGAAGCAATAATTGTCGCAACGGCACCATTACGCTTCAAACCTGACACGCCTAGCGATTTTGTACGTTTGGAAGGACAAAAAAAACGCCACCACTTCCCCCTTCTCGGCATCGCAAAGGGCAAGGTCACTGGTCCTGCAGATGCTGGAAGGCCATCCTATCTGGACAGCCCTTGTTAAAAACCGGTGTGTCACCGTTGAATGTGTCTGTGACGGTTGCCAAAAGGGAACACAATTTGTGTATCTTTGCAGAGAAGCCTTGATTAGATGTAACGGCGGGAGATGGAGACGATTAATCGATTAATTGCATTTGTGGACGTTTGATGGAGGGCCAGAAGCGTGTTTTTCCTTTTCAACTGGGCACCTTCAAAAAGCGGGCAACGCTTGTCATTCTCGGGGGGGAGAAATGCATACCCCCTCACACACACACAAACACAACACTCTCACACACACAACACAACGGACTGGGAATTTACGGGCACTTGAATCTCAACACGCCCAGAAGGTGCCCAGTTGAGAAGGCCCGGTTCGTGGGATGGTTTAAAAGTTGTGATGGTCATTTTGAGAAATTAATCCAAGCTGTGATCTTCTCTGCCCCAGTGGACTGTTGGGATGGCCCCGATGACCTGCCCATCATCTACCACGGCCACACGCTGACCTCCAAAATCAAGTTCCTCGATGTGTTGCACACCATCAAGGAGCACGCGTTCACCACCTCCGAGTAAGCCGGGGTTGCTGCTTTATAGGTCTTGTGGCCTGCTTTTTCCTCCCTCTCTTGGGCTTCCTCCTCCTCCTCCTCCTTCTCCTTCTCCTCCTCCTCCTCTTTCCTACAAACCCCACTCCTTTCTATCACTGCTGCTGTTCTCTAGTCATTTCTTCTTCCTCCTCTTCTTCTTCTTCTTCTTCTTCTTCTTCTTCTTCTTCTTCTTCTTCTTCTTCTTCTTCTTCTTCTTCTTCTTCTTCTTCTTCTTCTTCTTCTTCTTCTCCTCCTTCTCCTCCTCCTCCTCCTCCTCCTTCTCCTTCTCCTCCTTCCCTTCTCTCCTCCTTCTCTTATTTTTCCTCCTTCTCCTCCTCCTCTTCTCCTTCTCTTTCTCTTATTTTTCTTCCTTCTCCTTCTCCTCCAACTCTTATTTCTCCTCCTCCTTCCCTTCTCCCCTTTTTTCCGTTCTCCTCCTTCTTCTCCTCCTCCTCCTCCTCTTATTTATCTCCCTTCCTCCTCCCCCCCCTCCTCCTCCCATCCCCTCTCCTCCCTCCTCCTTCCTCTTCCTTCTTCACGTTCTCCTTTATCGGAGAGTGGAATCCCTGATGGTAAGAACGAATCTCACAGGAGGCTTTCAGTGGCTCTGTCCAAATTGGTCCCCAGGATGAGAAGAACGTTCCAGAAACCGGAAAGCATGTTTTGCTTGATGGAACGGAGCAGCCAGGAAGAGGCTCCCGTCCTTTGCTCCCAAGCCCACTCAGAAAGCCCAGGAAGTTGGTAGCTCTGGTCCCATCCCTTTGTGGAGCCGACTTCCTGTCCTCAGGAAGTCCTGCCTCAGACCATCCCGGTCCAGACTGCTTGGCCGTTCTGAGTTTTGCTCTGCAGAACGACGCGTCCTTGGGTGTCGCCCTAGAACAGGAGTAGGTCAACCTTGGCTCTTTTATGACTTGTGGACTTCAACTCCCAGAATTCCTCAGCCAGCATGGGAAACTATGGCCCCTTCATGACTCGTGGACTTCAACTCCCAGAATTCCTGAGCCAGCGTGAGGGAACTATGGCCCCCTCATGACTCGTGGACTTCAACTCCCAGAATTCCTGAGCCAGCGTGGGGGAACTATGGTCCCTTCATGACTCGTGGACTTCAACTCCCAGAATTCCTGAGCCAGCGTGGGGGAACTATGGCCCCCTCATGACTCGTGGACTTCAACTCCCAGAATTCCTCAGCCAGCATGGGGGAACTGTGGCCCCCTCATGACTTGTGGACTTCAACTCCCAGAATTCCTGAGCCAGCGTGGGGGAACTATGGCCCCTTCATGACTTCAGGACTTCAACTCCCAGAATTCTTGAGCCAGCATGGGAGAACTATGGCCCCTTCATGACTCGTGGACTTCAACTCCCAGAATTCCTGAGCCAGCATGGGGGCACTAGGGCCCCCTCATGACTCGTNAATTGTGCTTTGATACTATGTGCTCAGGGGAGGGGAATTCAGTTTTTTCGAAGTTCTTTGAAGAGTTTCATCTGTCAGAACCATGACATAGGTTCTCTCTCTAACCTGGTCTTCCAAGTCCTCCAACGGGGCATCGATCTTGATAAAACCCGTGCAGCGCCTATCAAAGTGGCGGGACTTTGATCGTAGACGCCATCCTGACTTTTTTTGACCTTGCCTGAGGATGCCCCTTCCCTCTCGGTTCAAACCCGGCTCCCTGGCTGCGCAGCTTGCTAGTAACTCTGCCTTCTTCCTTTTCTCTGCAGGAATCCTGGGCGAGCGACCTTGCCAAAGTTCGCCGGTGCATGTGCAGCTACTTGCAGGATCGTTCTGCCGACACGACAGAGCCCGTCTTCCAGCTGGATGAAGTGAGTGTCTGTCTCTTTGTGGGATGTCTTGTTTGGGCTCAGAAAACCTCTTGAGATGTAGTTAGACCGGCATCTCTCAACCTCAGGAACTTTAAGATGGGTGGACTTCAACTCCCAGAATTCCCTAGCCAAACTGCGAGAGGGATCTCGGAGTCCTAGTGGACAATCCATTAAATAGGAGCCAGCCGTGTGCTGCAGCTGCCAAAAAGGCCAACACAGTGCTAGGCTGCATTAACAGAGGGAGAGAATCAAGATCACGTGAAGTGTTAAAATCATTTTACAAGGCCTTGGTAAGGCCACACTTGGAATACGGCATCCAGTTTTGGTCACCAAGATGTAAAAAAGATGTTGAGACTCTAGAAAGAGTGCAGAGAAGAGCAACAAAGAAGCAACGGATGGAAACTAACCAAGGAGAGAAGCAGTCTAGAAGTAATAGTTCTGATAGATAAAACAATTAATCAGTGGAACGACCTGCCTCCAGAGGTTGTGGGTGCTCCATCACTGGAGGCTTTTAAGAAGAGATGGGACAGCCATTTGTCTGGGATGGTATAGCATCTCTTCCTTGACCAGGGGGTTGGACTAGAAGATCTCCAAAGCTCCTTCCATCTCTGTTACTCTATAATAGTCTTTCTCTCCCTCATCTTTGCACAGTTCCTGATGTTCTTGTTCTCCAAAGAAAACATGCTGATGGATTCCAAGGGTGAGCAAGTGGTCCCTGAAGAAATGAATTTCCCCCTGTCCCAGTACTGGATCTCATCTTCACATAACACGTAAGAGTTCCTTGGATCCTTGGGTTTGAGGAGGGTTAGAGGAGAAGAGGAGGAGGAGAAAGAGGAGAAAGAGGAGGAGGAGGAGGAGGA